AGTTTTACTGATATATTTTGTGTTTTTCTCTGATACTCTATCACTAGGTAACCTTAGTAAATTATTATAGTATAAACTATTTGGTCTGACTATCTTGTGTGATATTGATTACCAAACCTTGCGACATTACCGCTTCGTGTTATTTTTAAACAAAAATTATACAACGACGATTATATCTTCAAAAGTGAGGTTAAGTCTAATGTTTTTAAAATATTGTTTTTATTATGTCGTAGAATCTATGTCGCAAATGATCGTGTGACTTAATTAATACCTAATTGTTATAGTGGAACTAGTGATTTAAGAAATTTTAGAACTTGTTCAAATCAATTAAATACCAAACTGAGTTTTGTATTTAAATGATCTTACCGGACTTTAAGTAATGATAACTTTGTTTTGTTTTCTACCTTGAAGACTGATCGCTTCTGATCACAAGACCACTTACTTTAGCTACTGATTAAATCAAACAATACCTGACTTCTTATAAAGTACTGTAGTGAAGAATTTTCGACCGATCACTTGACTCATTTGGTAGAATAGATAACCCAGTCACGAAACTAAACCTCTGAATTCCAGCCAAAACAAACCATTAGGAAGTCGACTATATAGCTTTTCAGAAAATATATAGTAAATATTTAAGCAAGATATTTTGCGTTATTGACTAGTGAGGTTACCAATAAAAAATGTGACAACATCATATGATCACAGAATTACTACATCCACACAATAAGGATGACAATAAGTCACAAACATGGAAAATATGTTTAAACTTCACAACTTCGTGGATATTATTCATCACTAACTTTAAAATTTGTTAGAGCATGAGATATTTTGTAATATCAGAAATAAATTACTAATTAAATAATTTTTCATTATAGATATGCTACATATTCTTGTGGAGTTAACTATGATAAATTCATCCAGAGAGTTGATCAAACCTTAACGATACAACACAAAAAAGGGTATCAGATTAATTTTCAGTTACATATTTCTATTACGATTCTATCAAAGCACTAACTTATGTTATTATTTTCTCTTTCATTACAAATTATTCCTTTTTAAAGTAACTAAGCTTAAGTTTAAAATATCATTAATAATACAAGGAGGTTGGAGATTATGTAACAGAATAGTATGAACAGATCAATATTATTACTTGAGGTGAAACATTTAAATAATAAATAACAGTAACTGGTCTGTGTGCATCAGTATTGAAGTGAAAGATAAATTTTTCTGTAAGACAGAAAGTCCATATCTATACAACAAAGTCAAGAAATTAATGTCAATGTTAATTTTATCAATAAAAATCAACGACCCTCTGAAGCATGTCATTTCGAATTAGATGCAAAACAAATTCCCTACAACTTTCAAACTAACAGATGAAAATTAATCAAGAAAGAAGGTATTTCCAAGAGCTCTATTTACAGGAAGCAAATTCTGTGTAAATGAAAGCCATGGTTGCCATTCGAAATGACAACTCGTCAAATGGAATCGATAAGAAAAATGAACGTAATCCAAAGTCAAAGGCCAATCATGTTCAATCATCAATTATTCAAAAATGAATTTTATATAACTTGAATACAAATGATAACTATGTTGGATTTACAAGCGAAATCTGGAGAATTGAAAGGACTTGTCAGATGTTCAAGTATACATAAATCCGATAGTCCAATAAGTTATTATTGTTTTACTGATTATCCAACAAATTAGTATATCTGAAGCAGCAAATAGCTCTCCAAATGAATAGCTTTAGAGGCATTCCACAATGATGCCGAACGTGATAGTCCTAGTAGACAAAACTACTTGAAAGCGTTCAGTCAAGCCTGGAAGACTCCTCTATAAAGTTAGATTAACAGTATCCCGTCTATCAATCTCTGTATTCGGTCAAATACTTTGTTAATACCAACTATTACCATCTTCTTTCATGCTTGCCTTATGGAGACCATGCTTTAAGCTTATGGATTACATGACCATCCTATTATATTGTATCAACATAATCTTTATCGTCCTCAGAAACTTGTAAATCACAGGGATGCTTTCCAAAATGCATAGTCCCACGCTTGTTCAGGTTAAATGGTAATTACCATTTTTCACTCCAGATAGTTAGGTTATTGAGGTCACTTTGAATCTAGGATACACTTTCGCTTAGAGCTTCAGGCTTAAAGCTATATATTATTTTGAGATCATCAGCATATAAGTATGGTCTCCCAAATTTTATGTTCTTGTTTATATATATATATATATATATATATATATATATATATATATATATAACACTTCCCTGGATAACTCCACTAGTTATTGGTCTAGGTGACGAGAGTCATTGTACTTTACCATTTGTTTACGATCTGTTAAACCATAGTCAAAGCAAATCTAAAATACATAACATTGATAGGAAAGCTCTCGGTGTTTTTTACACTACATGCTCAATTATAAAACTTATTACATATCAATGCATGTTCGATTTCAAACAAAATTTCAAGGTTGAGAACCTTGTCCTATTATTAATGGATTTATACATGTATATCCTCTAAACTACAATGCTAAGATTATTACAGATTTTAATTACCCTCGAATAAACTGAAATACCGATAGTTGTCAGTCATGTAATGATGAAGTCTCGGCAACCATTAACATTCACTTTTAATCACGTTGGGTTCGTATCCTAACAAGGGGTGGTATTATACTTAACCTAGCATCCTGTACAAATATCATCCTACTATCTATCTAAGTATACGATGAATTTGAAAGGAGTGACGATAAAATTGTAGTTGGTGCTCTCTCTATCTGTCCTTCTTAAAACCAACCAAAAGAATCCGTCAATTTAGGAATTATAGACGTGTTAACTGGGACCTCCTGCACTCTCTGGTAAGATTCTCAGACTGGGATGCCTTCTCGTGTAATGGTCTTGTGGATGCCACCGCCACATTCTATCTGATCACTGACCCTTGTTTAGATTCCTGCGCATTTCTTAAAACGTACAGAATTAGTAAACCAAACGAATTACTCATACCAGCTAAATATCGTAATAAACTAAGACGCTTTCAGAAACATTATTTTACGTCAAACAATTTCACGGCAGTTGTACAAATAACTGTAATTTTTAACCAACTTAAAGAAAAGCACAGGTTGAAAGCCATTAATGAGGAGTTTTTGGCACTTAATAACAGGTCAAAAGTAAAAAACCTTTACTCACCTTTTCAATAATAAACATGGTAGAGCCGAAGGGAGATATCCCAACGTTTACTAACTACGTTGTCGCTGTGACATCTATTAAGTGTAAATCACCATATACACTAATTATAAAATGTTCAAAAAGAAACACTTAATTTCCTACAAGTATGATAGAATGTAACTTAAGTGGTTGTCAATAAGCATAGGCGTTTTTATAATCTAGATACTGAATCTTATTAATGTACAGGTTGAAAGATCCATTTTGATACTTTGCCTTATTGCTATTGATTAGAAATTTATAGAACGATCAGCATTTTTACCAGATAATTTTCAAAGTCCTGTGTAGTAGACGCTATTCACAAGATTGCTTGTAAGTAGTATGTTGCGGGACGTGACCTCTAAGCTGTCGGAACACTTAGAGCCCAGATGAGAAGACTGTTCGGATTCCAGAGTGCATCAAAGGTTCCAAATGGACGATTGAAGATTGTTGACGTATTATGTAAATGCTTTGTAACTTCTCACAACAAACATACATCCCTTATGCATATTGCCTTCTTTTACAGAACCCCATGTTATTTCCGGATGATCCTGTGCTTTAGTGATACATAGGTTACTGGGGAAAGAATTTCGTCCATTTGTACAACTTGTTCGTTATCGATGTAATATGTACTTGGTGCCTGATCGTAACCTCACCTACAACCTAATCTGATGAGTAAAAGACCTCACAAAGATCCATCAGCTTTGTATAATGAGGGGGTCAAACTTCAAATCAAAAATCATTTTAACTATTTTCCTCACAATTAGACAAGTTTAAGCGTGAATTTCATAACGACAAACGTTTACAGTCCATTATCAGCTGCAAAGTGGGATGGATTCCACATTCCATCTAGTGTAAGAACAGTGTATGTCTGAGAACCTGGAAATACGTCAACCTTAATCCTATATGTTGGGTTACATCATATGCTGCTAGGCTATGAAATTGTATTAAGACAGTGTAAATTCTAGCTGTAATTCGATGAACTGATAACAGGCGGGATATCATTAGCCACTTACTACTTGTTTATCGTATGTGCTTTATCATATTTTATATTTGATTTGATTAGAGAACAGTAAAATTACCAGAATGAAGACTTCTCTTTTAATTAGAATAAGCACCTTTTTATTAAATGAACATTATCCTTAGAACACTTTCATGGTGAATTAATGTTTCTAATTGATAATAAATATATGTTAGTTAACAACACTGAGTTTTGCATCAAAACTAGTGATGACCATTTTTCAACAAAGAAATTAATAGACCTATGTTCTAGCATGTTTTCTGTCATTATTTTATTTCAAATACTTATATTAAATAAATAGAACTTGTGAGAAAGTAAAAACAGAACAACAGCTAGATTTATATATATATATATATATATATATATTGAATTTCTTAATTCACAGAACATAATGAAATAACCTATTAGATTAATTCACCGAATAAGCAGAAGCAGAATATTGAAAATTTCGAAATAATAAGTATGAATTAGACAGTTTATACGAATCTATCCATAATGATAATACAAGCCAATTTGCTGTTTTTAAAATTATCTTGTTTTATTCCTATGTGTAGGATGAATTGTAAATATCAAGCAAATAAAAAATCTTTAAATCGTGTTTCACTTTAAATTTAACAAAATAACTGATTGTTGGATAGGTCAGTAGATTAACAAAAGCAACAACAATGGTAGTAGTGACCTTAAAAAATGATTGTCAAGAATCTTTTCACATTTTAACAAACAATTTTAAGATATTTAAAAAAAACAGTGGGAAAAGGGTTTGAAAACAGAAATTCACAAGGGGCTGTAATATCCAACTTGACGATTACATGATGGACAAAAATGTCGAGCACTTTTCGTGGAATCCAGACAGAATGGAATCAAACAGCAACCAAAGAAAAACCTGCAATGAAAATAAACGTTAAAAATCAATATTTCGTAATGGCTGCAAGCTTTTTATTGACAAGTACACGGACTAGATCGACATATATTTGCTGACAACATACTGCCCCGAAAGCACATGGGGCAGCATACCAATTCCGTAGAAAACAACCTTGCTACAAAAAATTCTAACCATAACAAACAAATTAAACCACTTAAACGCTGCCCTCCAAGTTCAAGAAAGAATTTTGACGTCTCGAGGTGAAAGCTGAGATTCTTTCGAAGTCATGACGTATATGCCCCGTCTAACAACCAGAGCAACAATTAATATAGGTACATGGAACGTTCGGACAATGTGGGATACTGAGAGAACTAAACAAATAGCAACGTAGATGAGGAGATACAACCTGGTGGTGCACGGAACACGTGAAACGCATTGGACCGAAGCTGGACAGAAAAGGTTAGATATGGAAGAGATGCTGCTGTACAATGGGCACGCAAAAGAAAATGCTCCTCACATACAAGGAGTTGCACTGATGCTATCCAAAGAAGCACGAAAATCATTTATAAGATTGGAATTTCATGGACCCAGAATCATTAAAGCATTCTTCAAAACAAGGAGGGAGGGGATTACAATGAATGTTATGCACCCACCAATGGTAGTAATGAAGACGATAAAGATCAGTTTTACTAGAGGCTGCAGTCAGTTGTAGAGAAGTGCACCACAAGGATCGATGTTAAACCACTTCACCTTAGGTCTGTTATACAAGATCCAAGTCAACAGTTGGAAACTACATAAATTTATCCTGTTTCTGGTCGGACCACCACTAGTTTTAACCTTCACTTATACTGTCCAGCATAGTGCGTCAGTGTAGCCAATGACTGAAGAGGCGCAATTACCCCGGTTAATGAATGATGATAGTATGATTGACGGACTTGACATTTCTAACTAGTGCTCAAAGTCTAAACCACAGCATTTTTAGCTCAATGGTTCCGTCATACACGAATAATACCTTGAAGATGCATATGATTGGATGCAAACTATCACATGATACAATTAGATGGTGGTTGGAGGTAGTCAACAGGAAACCCTGGACCCGGGTTTCGTGCTACTTGGCACTCGTCAGCAAGGTGTACCTGTAATCTTGAGGGAACTGGTGCTCCCTGGCGGATTCGATCTCGTGTCACCCAGCTTCACAGTCAGAGACGTTACCACTGAGCTATCCGAGCCGTGACTAACCTCCTGTAGGACTGAGATGTAATCACAATTGATTGATCACTGGGTGGTGATCAATCTCATGCTTGTCTAGTCCTTAATAGTGCAGATCGAATGCTATCGATCATGTTGCAATGTGGCCAACAGTCTAGGTGACTCGACACTGCGGGCACTATGTATTGAGATTAGATGGTGGTTGGAGGTAGTCAACAGGAAACCCTGGACCCGGGTTTCGTGCTACTTGGCACTCGTCAGCAAGGTGCAACATGATCGATAGCATTCGATCTGCACTATTAAGGACTAGACAAGCATGAGATTGATCACCACCCAGTGATCAATCAATTGTGATTACATCTCAGTCCTACAGGAGGTTAGTCACGGCTCGGATAGCTCAGTGGTAACGTCTCTGACTGTGAAGCTGGGTGACACGAGATCGAATCCGCCAGGGAGCACCAGTTCCCTCAAGATTACAGGTACACCTTGCTGACGAGTGCCAAGTAGCACGAAACCCGGGTCCAGGGTTTCCTGTTGACTACCTCCAACCACCATCTAATCTCAATACATAGTGCCCGCAGTGTCGAGTCACCTAGACTGTTGGCCACATTGCAACATGATCGATAGCATTCGATCTGCACTATTAAGGACTAGACAAGCATGAGATTGATCACCACCCAGTGATCAATCAATTGTGATTACATGATACAATTGTCAAGAATTTGGATTCCATGTCATTAGGAATTTTCCCATACTCAGCCAGATTAGGCTGAAGATAGCGGAATGTGATCCTCATTTCTGTTTTAGATTTTTGAAGTAAACCACAATCCTCACAAGTTTGCTTTTAAGGTTAAATATCCAGTTTTATCTTCGCATTTTTATGTAAAAAGATAGTAAGTTTCCAGTAGTCAAAGAACATTTGAGCTGGAGGTTTTACAATGTTGGTATTGATGGAGTATTCGACAACCTATTTGATTATTCAGATATCACGTGCTTCTGAATTCAATAAGATGGCTATAAAATGGTTACAAGATTCGATAAATACAGTGAAAAAAGGTTGATATAAGTAAAAATTTCACTTGTCTGTCTGATTTTATCCGAATAAAATAGGTTATATGAACCCACCCGAAGAAGCAGAGGATTCCACATAACAACCACGGCAAGCACCCGGATTCTAACCTAACCCTTGTAATACCAGAGTTATGGCAAAAGGGACAGGTAATACCAACAGGATATCGGTGGTATGCAGTTGTGGTCACCGTCGGTTGATGAACAATCACTGTGGCTAAGGTAGATAAGATAACAATTAGTTTATTGTATTATGAAAAAACAATACAGAATCACTGGTAGCACTCATTTATGTTACCTTAATTTTCAAAGTAAATTCCATGCAAAATATAAGACATAACTTAAATATTAATCATAATCAACTGAACTGCATTTTTTTAATTTTTTTGTCTACTTTGGTATGCTTTTCGTGGATGGCATTCTGTGTCAGCCATAAATATACAGTTGATTCACCTCTCTGGTAAGTGATTTACTTGCACTCCTTGGATAAAACATTATAGAATACAGTTTGTGTGCCTTAAGACAGCATTAAAAAGATAAAAGAAACTCTATCAATTTGCGAAAAACTAAGTGTATTAGCATTTCTGTGACAAATTTTAAGCCACGTTATATATGATTTTTAACCATTAATTCAACCATTGTCAGAAGCATTGTTGGGGAGTTTTACAGATCTTCGATGCTGATCAGATCAGTGGGTAAATGCGAAACAAAGAATGTGTCATATTTTCACCAGGACATTTAAAGACTTATTTTGTTTTACTTCAATTTCAACCGTGATATTTTACATAATGTTAGTTCGCAATCTTATCAATTAATTTACCACTGACACCACATAAGACTTATCAAATATGGTTTCAACGGTTTGAGTGTATTGATTCGGATGACATTTTGCACTATGCGACGTTTTGTGCAACCTCGCAGTTTAGTTTAAATGTTTCAGGAAAACACAGTGCTTGGAACCTTAAAATACATCTGAAGTATAACAATAAAAACTGAGTGATTAAACTGCCACTTCCATTTAGAACAAGAAATTTTAGGGAATAAAGACTGGAGGATTACTTTTTTACCCGGAATTTCAACGAATACAGTTGTTTAAAAAGAATTACAAATGAAATGAAGAAAAGCTAGACACTCCGTAAATATATGTGTACGGTAATCAGTCTTTCTATTCTTAAAAAAGTTTTAACTTCAGGATGACTTGCACTAGTGATATGAAAAGCAGTGAGGAGTATTTTTGTTTTGATTGCGGTAATTGCAGTAGATAATTGTACTCATGATAAAACGAATGACCATGTGCAGGGAACTTAGATACAGATGATTGGTTAATAATAAATAAAAAACCTAAAGACTAGATCGATATTATCTGTACAATGACAGTTTGTGGAGGTAAAAGAAGTCAAGGAAATATGAAGAAGATTTGTAGTAAATAGTAGCCACATGGTATCCAGACCATAGGAATCAATACGAAAACACTAGTGAAAAGTCAGTGAGTCAGTAACAACGTAGTGTAAAGTGGAAAATAGTAGAGTATGACAAGTGAATTTTGTGTCTTTAAGGATTATTAGTCATACTAAGATGTTTGTTGGGTATAAAGGTTGGAATTAATTCTACTTTAACGCTCTCCATTCTAGAAGGAGCAGAGATAAATGATAAATGACAACAAAGGAGTAATATTGGATATCGGTTTTTTAAATCTTGATATCCATAATCATGATGCTCACCTGGAGCATAGTACAAATAAAACTAATAAAAATAGGTTTAGTTAGCGATAAATTTTACGTACTATTATCGTCTCTTAAATTTTAGAAAATAATATCACTTAGGATCATTTTGTTGTCAGAAATCTTGAGCGATACTGTTGTGTTAGTAAATTATGTGAAAACAAAACCATAACGTTGGACAAAGGTATAATTTAAGGAAGGAAACTGATCATCTCAATACATGAATCTACTCTCTGATTGTTGAATGATAGAATTTACTTTTCCCCATCGCCAAAGCTGGGATGCAGTAATACAAATAATTTATTCTCAATTACATACGATCATTATAAATAGTAGCTCAGTATGTAGATTTATTTGTGGTTAAGAAATTTTTAATTCATGCTGTATTCGCAATCAGTTGAAGGGATACTGTTGAAAAATAATGATGTTCATTACCAATAAACAGCTTCGAGGTTACGGAAATCGGCATGTGGTTTCTTATGGAAGAATCAACTTCAAAACCCAAGTGACCCACAAAATAATAAACTTGATAAAACTGGACAGTTAACTGGTGATAACTCAGTAGTAGATAGATCGAAAGTATTTACATAATCCATATCTAACTGAAATTCAGTCATTTGAAGTAAAATAAGTTCTATATGCAAACCTATCCTGCATTTTTACTTTGCATCAATTACCCACAAATGCGTGTAAAGTACGATCAAACTGAAAGCAGCTGCTAAAACGAATCATTAATCATTTATCAGTTTAACATGTAACAGTTTCTGCACAGAACTAGATGCTTCCGACTATTAAAAAAGAAGTGCCCTTTTCACTTTGAAATTCTCAGTTTATAAAATATCATATAACTAACGATAATAATGCTTGGGTTCATGACTAAGTTTCATATCAATATTTGTTAGAAAAAATCGGATACATTCTTTTTTATCCGGTTTTTCCCATCCATTTATACTTTGAAAATATGAAAATTAATCTATTCAAAAGAGAAAAAATATTTGAATATTTGAAAACATCAAACATTTCCTTTAGAATTTTCGTTTATTATATTCAATACTCTACAGAAAGTGAAATAAAACGTACAAATGAGAAAAATTTATATTCTACAGGGAAATAGTTAAGAAAAAAATTCCTTTCCTGTTTAAAATAAACATTTTTCTAGTAAATGTTTCAATGAATATAGCCATGTTAAATGGTGAAAATCAAAGGATACACTGGTATACAAATAGTGAAATACATAAAGAAATTTTGTAAAAACATGTTTGTTTAAAACAACATATAATATAAACCAATTGTATAAATCGCTTTCCAGATACTTACTTACTCCTAACACCCTTCGTCAAAATAAATAAGCAGTCCACCGGCATTCTCCATCGAACTCTGTCCTAAACAATCCTTTCCAGTTGCTATCCACGCTTTTGATTTCTGCTTACAATTTTCGACACATGGTTAGCGCTTGCTTCGTTATGTAGTTCGATTATTTCTGCAATGTATGTCCTATCCACCTCCGTCGTTTCCTAATTTCCTCTACAGCTGGAAGTTGGGTTGTTCTCTCCCACAGTAGGCTTTTGCTGATGGCACCCGTTCAACGGACATTGAGTGTCTTGCGTTTCTCCATCAAATGTGACTGGGTTGGTGTTCTCCGTGTTATAGTTGAGGATGTTGCTTTTTCCCTTGTGTATGTTGAGGCTTATTGATGCAAAGGCTCCTGCTACACTGGCTGTCGTGACCTGCATTTATTGGTGTGGATGGGATAGAAGGGCTAAGTCATCTGCAAAGTCCAAATCGTCTGGCTACATCGACTCCCCACTGTGTTCCGTGCCTTCCTGAAATTTGAAGGTCTTCAGAATCCAATTAATTATCGTATGAAAGAGAAAGGGTGAAATTAGGCAACCTTACCTATGTGTAATTTTAGTGCTTCAGGTGGTATACTGCCAGGTCCTGCTGCTTTCCCATTCCTGATCTGTCTGATGACCACCCTGATTTCTTCCATCGTTGGCGAAGTAACGGTCATAGGAAGGTCTGTGTCGCTTTTTCGATGTCTGGTGAATTAAATGGAGTTCCTCAAAGTGTTCTATCCATCTGTTCCTTTGTTCTTGAATCTCAGTGATTGGCTTGCGTTCTTTATTCTTCACCGGTCTCTCTGGTTTGTCGTATTTCCTTACTAGTTTTTCTTTTCGTTGAGTCATATAGTCGTATCATAGTAACCTCTGCTGCAGTTTTTCCCGCTGTCGTTGCTAGGTCACGATTTTCAGAGGTAATAGATGAACTACTTTTAGACTCTAGGTACCCGTGACAGACACCCTATTGTCACTAAAACACAAGACAGTTGGTAACAGGAATTCGTCCTTGGCGTGTGTGGTCTAACCACATCTCAGACGACATGGTTTGTAAGTTAGGACCTTACTGAAAAAATAATCCAGCCCCGTTGGGTCATCATTATTCTCAGGACCAACTGCCGCATTAAGAAAACAAATGCGATTATAGATGTGACTGTCTGTTCAAGAGTTCTTTATTCAAAACACGTTGCTAAACAGGAGATTCATAACATCCACCAATCTACGAAACTAACAATAATGTCTGGGTATTCCAACACCGTAACAACAAATAGACAAATTAATAAATAATAATGCTTGCCTGGTGGTGCAGGTTGGTAGCCAGATCCCATAAATACATTACTGGTTGGTTGGTTAATTTGTGGGTACAAGGGATAAGGACATGGATCCTGAGTTGGATAAGGCGCAGTTGGAGGAGAGTAAGGAGGAGGAGCTGAAAGATGAAAATAAAAATATATCTAGCTGAATATCACCAGAAACGAGCGCCCGTATCTTTCGTTTTTATTTACTGCCTAGAAGACTAATGCTTTCTAAGTGAAACATGCTTTAGATACTTTGTCTTTACAACCGACTGATATAGGCAATCCCTTTTAGATGTAATTCTTAATTACTCCAGCAAAATTGAACGAAATTTCGTAAATGGATGTCTATCAAGAATTTCGAGTCATGTCTTTCTCTTACAATTAAATACACTGTCAACGATATTTTCGGCATGTTAACAAAAAATGGAGTTGATGTAGACGATAACAATACGGATAAGGATGTGATCTATGCTAATCTAGTAGCCAGTAAAAACCAATCAGACCAACTTCTTTTGACATACCCCAAATGCAAGCGAAAGATGAGGAACATGAGCTTTGATAAAACTCACCAAACTTGCACCAAGAGGGCGAAGACGAAGTTTAAACAGTTAATGAGTCACATAAAGTAGGAGGGCATGGTAAATTCACCTTCTAATTAATTAGAAAAGAATTTCCGACATTTTTAGTTTCGGTCAAACGACTCCAGACTGATCATTCTCTATTGTATTTCGACAATCATATGTTACATTATAGCACCCACCTGTAACTTAAAGCTAGTTTGAAAAGGTTGAGGTGAATCAGTAGCTACGCCACTTGTCTGTCGAACATCTGTATGCTCGAGCTTACTGACTTTACTCCGGTTCGTTGGGCTATTTAATGACACCAACGCAAACTGAAACTCAAAGCTAGGTACATAAACATGCAACCGGCTATGATTGATGTCAGACATAGGGACGATTTACGTAAAATCAGTAGGGCTTTTACATTACCCTACCAATTACGTCTAAACTACGTGTCTTAGAAAGTGACCGATAAGATTTCCTATCAAGAAATGACTGTCCTTTTAGCAATTAACCCAAATGTAAAGATAATAAACATAGCAGACACATGTCAGTCACAACAAATATTAATTGTTTGTTGACGGAATTCCCTTATTTTTAGATGAGTTTCCATAAAAATTCAAGCTGGTCAACACCAATATTTTCAGGGACATTTCCTGATATATTGTTTGTATTCCGTAAGCCAAACATTAGTTTATTCGTAGTACTTTAGAGGACATATATTTATAATATTATCGATACGTGGATTATAATTAACCCAATGTAGTCGACTTGACTGATAAGTAAGAAAATACTGAGACTACGACATAGCTTGGTAAAATAGGGTCTCATTCAAAGATACAAAGAAAAATGCAGGGGATTTACAACTACAAAGTAACTCACGTTTATCCATAACGATCTGAGCCAGTGTGAATTATGTCGCCAACATTATTTCAAGATTCAATATTCGGTGCTGCAGTAGTCTTCAGTCTTCAGTAATAAGGATAGTAGGTTGGTGAACCTGTATTAATCCTGACACATTGCTTTCCAGTGAAGGTCCAGCTTCTCCTTGAAAATATTCACTGATGGGACTGATACCACTTGTTCGGGTAAGGCGTTCCAATCATTGACTACTCGATGAGAAAAACGGGACCCCATTCTAAGTTTATTAAATCGCGGTTTATCAACCTTCTTGCTATGACCTCGGAGATTATTAGTGCTGAAGGGGGCAAAAAGATAAGACATATTAACACCCAAATCATAATTAAAGATACGAAATGCCAGTATAATGCCACCTCGCGTCCAAAGATACGACAAGGCGAAAAGGTTTAGGCGTTTTAAACGCTCATCGTAAGGGAGTTTAGAAATACCCTTCACTAATTTCGTTCCCACGCCTTGGACACGCTAAAGTGAGTTGGTATCCTTTACCAGACATGGGATAGCTGCTTGGATACAGTACTCTAAGTGTGGTCTTGCATAGGTGGGATATAAAATTCGAAACATTTCCTCGTCAAAGCATTTGAATGCTCGGTGAAGTGACCATAACGCACGAAAACCTTTGACAGCGGCTGCGCTGCAATGCGCAGTTGTTTTTAAGTCATGACTTATTATTACTTCTAAGTCTTTATGCTATTGAACGCATGGAAGAGGTTTACCATCAAAAGTATAATGGTAACTTACCGTGACCGATGTGCATTAGCACACACTTCCTAGCACTGATTTCTAAGCCCCACTCCCGAGCACATCTAACTAAATCGTCTAAGTCAGCTTGAAGATCCAGATGATCAGTCTCACTTTTTATTGTTCTCCAGATTTTTACGTCATCCGCAAACAATAATGTCGACGACCTAAGCAACAGCGGTAACTCATTAACGTAGAGAAGGAAGAGCGGAGGGCCTAAGATAGTGCCTTGGGGTACCCCACTTTTGACCGGCTTCCAATCGGATAGCGTCCCGTTGACTCTTACTCTCTGTCTGCGGTCATACAAGAAGTTGCCTATCCACTCCTGTACAGTACCTATTATTCCGAAACTCGTAAGCTTCTGCATAAGACCTAAATGTTAAACCTTGTTAAATGCTTTGCTAAAATCTATGAATATCACACCGACAGACAGGCCTTTATCTAAGGCTGCTGTCCAATCCTCTCTCGTAATAAGTAAGTTAGTCAAGCATGAACGCTTGTTACAAACTCCATGTTGCTCAGGAGCTAACAGATTGTGTGAAACTATGTGGCTTAGCAACCTAACCCGAATTATCTTTTCAAGCAACTTAACGACCATGCTAGTTAGACTGACAGGCTGGTAGTTAGATACCATCTGTATCTGACCATCCTTAAATATAGGACTGACTATAGCGTCTTACCAATCTCTAGGGAGTTGAGCGAGTGAGAGGGACGTGTTGAAGAGCGCCTCGAGCGGTTTTGAAATAATGTCCGCAAGAAATGACAGCAACTGTGGATGTAAGCCGTCAGGGCCCGGTATCTTACCAGGTTTGAGGTTCGTGATCAACGGAAGGACAGTTTCCTCAGTTCCCTGTACAGATTCAATGGTTGGTATCTCGGTGTGAGTGGGACAAGTATTTGTTACGATAAACGTAGAGAAGACTTCGCTAAAATAGTTTGAAAAAGTCTCAGCTTTTGTCCGATCTGATCCAGCTAGTAAATCTGAATTTTCGTGTAACAGTAACGAGGGGATACCATCATTACGTTTCATTCGCCGTTTAACATACGAAAACAATCGGTTCGGACAAGTACAGCTATCATATACCAACTGTCGTTCATAAGTAGTACGGGATTTAGCTACGCTTTTCTTACAAATATTCCAGAATTTTTGGTACTCACACTTAAATTACGCGTGACCTGTCAACAAGAATAAGTCTCAGAAGTGTTCCCCACGCTTTAACTGCTTCCCGGTATCCTTATTAATCCATGGAGGGCAATGTGATAGCTTACATGCTGACCATGGGATAAACGGTGACGTTACGGACTCGAATGTAGCCTTAAACTTGTTCCATTCGTCTTTGATCGATCCATCCGCGTCGACCGACCAATCAGTCGAGATAGCACAACTTCTGATTGCCGGAATATTATATATATATATAATATTGCACAACTAAGTGTTAAGTTATATGTATTTTAATCTTTTATAACAACACAAAGCATTTCCGTTCTACCTGTTTCAAATCGACTTCTCAGTAGTGTCGTGTCGCAGCTGTAACCCAATCAGGACCAACTGTGATTTGTAGGACTATTTCGATTCACATAAAACATTTTACGGTTCTGTGGGTAGATTTTGGGAGTAACCTATCGAAACGCGTAAACGTAATATATTTTGTCATTCTATAACCTATCTGAAGAAACAAGTTAATAATAGTAATAATAATTTATTCTCAAATAACAGTTTGTTACATGAGGCATGCCAGTTTACAGGCAAGATCGAAATGATACAAATGACACAATACACACTATAGTAAATTACATAGCTGGGTTGATAATTTATAAGATATGAATGTAGTATGGTTTTAATCAGTACCACAGTTGGCGCGCTTCATGAAAGTTGCGTTGCAAATGTGCACCTGATGGTCAAGGATAGGTCCATTGAAGGTGGGAGCTTCTAAATGTCGCAACCTTATGTCCCTTTGGAATGTTTATGGCTTTGAAGATGGTGCAGGATGAAGTCACCCGTTCCATATCTCAAGGGGACTGAAAGAGGGAGCAAGTAAAAGAAAGTGAGGATGCCACAGGTATTCAGTGTTTGACAACACTTTTACCAGTAACACCTTCTAATATATTTCGTTCCCACCCAGAGAAATCAAAAGACAGAATCGAGGAAATCGGAAGAGTGTATTTGGCGACTACCAACATATCGGAATTCTCTGATCTAATCTGGCTAGCGATTGCGGTAGATGTTGAGCACAGCGTTACCACATGTGATCTGGTGTGGATGCATGACCGAGCACCTTCAGCTAGATGAGTCCACTAAAACATATGGTCACCATCCAATGTCGAAAAACTTAGAGCTATTTATTTTGGGGATTTATTTACCGCTACAGATCAATCCCCCCTAGTGGGGCAGTGACGACCCTAAGACGTGGCCAGCCAGAAGTTTAAACCCAACGAGTTTGTCGTTGGTAAACACTCTTCTGATAGCTTACTAAGTTTAGCAGCGTCTGGTCCGTCTTTCCTTACTATATGGGACCGAGGTACAACATAGTAAAAATAGAAAATGTACAATGAAAATTTCAGTTCCTCATAAACGTCACCGTTCTTTTCCAGCTGTCCTGGAAAAGAAAAAAGAAAATGTAAGTGCATGTCGAAATACACTCGTATGTGCGTACAAACACAATGTCGGCTAAAAAAATGGAAAATAAACTCAAGCACATGTAATAGAGTTAAAAAAATAATTTCTTTGTTTTTTGTTTTTTTAAATCAAAATATAAATATATAAGCATATTAAAATGGTTTTTTTTAAATATTATATATCGTAAAAAGAAAAATCGAGATAATATAAAATGTCGAGTAGTGCCTTACGTGCAGTAGTCGTTTAAATGTTCTGGAAATCTTACTCTTCTTCCATAACGCGTCGTTTTAAGTTTATTTTCAGATACATTCGGAGTATCATCGCTAGTGTTTGTTGTCAGTTGAGGAATTATGAGTGCAGTCGTGTCGTTCGATTGTACCGAAGGAACATCGACGTAGATCGGATTTCTTTTTAAATACGCTGCATTGAGGCGATCGATGCTGATGCTATCGTTGGTTCCGTTCTTATCGATTATATAGTACTTCGGTTCGCGTTGAAGAACTTTGAAAGGTCCTTCGTATGCTGATTCGAAGGGTCGTCGATGCGAGTCTCGACGAACGAAAACGTGTGTACTATATCGTAAGTCAGGTTTAACGAAAACATCAGTTGATTGAGGTCGAATAGAAGCAGGTTTAACTGAACGCATTGAGTTTGTAAGGTTTGCTTAAACCCACGTTAAGGTAAACGTACCTTTTGCCATACGTAGCGATCGGTTTTCCGTTTGCCGCCTGTAAGTTTAGAGTCGATTCGTGAAGTCAGTCGTTAGGATTTGCTGGGAGATCGCTAACTTCTGCGCCAGTGTCGTCGAGGTGGCGAACTATCGTTGTCACATCTGTGACGTATAACAGACGGCTATGTTCGCCGGCTACGGTTGCCGTTAACGCGTGCCGGCCTAGAAGTTTCCCGAGTTGTTTTTCGAGTCAGTCGGTTTTGTGTTGGGAAAATCGCAGGGTTTTCTGCAATTTCTGGAAGACTTTTTATACTGGTTATGATACCAGCACCAGTCTGGGTTATCTGTCTCTCGTGGTCTAGAGACAAATCGCTTACATGATATGCTTCTACGTGGGGTGCGCGATCTCTTACGGTCGGTACAAAGACTAAGATAACGCGTGAGTGTATGACATAACTCGGTTATATCATTCTGAGTCGTTTGAGGCTTTTCTTTGACTGAAAATACCTCGGTAGTAGAGGGTTTCGTAATTTCTAAAATGCGGTCGGCAGATGCAGCTGGCTCGTCTAAAGCGTTGTTCTGGAACGAGACCAGAACTGCTTGCACCTGTTGGGGAAGTTTTGACAAGAAGAGTTGTTTGAATAGACCTTCGTCGAAAGTTCTTGGGCCTATAACCTCTTTCATCCGTTGCAACATGTCCGTCGCAGAACCGTGTTGCAGGTCGATGTTATTGAAGAGTTGATCTAACCTCTGTCGATCGGTTAGGTCTCCTCGTTTAAGAATCGAACGTTTCAAGATTTCGTAAGGTTCGGAAACACCACTAGTAAACATACTAGGTGTTACGTACCTGTTGAATTCGCGCGGTAGTGCCTTGACTACTGCGAGGAATTGTGCACGTGTGTCGTTCACGCCGTGCTCGGAGAAGTCGGCTTCTGCGTAGCAAAAC